CTGTCCATTTCCCCCAGGATTATACAATTTCGTAGAAAGGGATGGGGGAGTTCAGCAATCTCAGAGTAGGTTCCAAAAAAATTTTGAAACCCACCACTGGGTCAAGGATATCATTGGGTGATTTTTTTATATTCTGGGCTAGATGCTGGAAAAATGGTTTGGGACGACTAGTTGCCATTATTATTATAATTCAGTTAAGTAATTAAAGGGTTCTTTTCCATGGGTATTCCTCTTATACTTTTATTGCAATCCTTCCAACGATTGCAAATTGTGTTGAGTTTTTTAGCGTCAAAAACATTTTTATATATTTGGCGTTAAACAAAAGTATTAGATAAAGTAACCGAATTGAGAGATGAGGAGGGGCCTGAAGCATGAAAACAGATGCTCAAGTGCAGCTATTCTAATGTTGTTACCGTATTGCATGGACAGTCGCCCTATACTGAAGAACTATGCTTCCTTCCGCAGGGGTGGTGGCCTTGGCCTCGTCCTGGCCAGCGCAGGTTTTGGGATGCTGACAGCACCCATCATGGAACTTCACAACCAGAAAGGCTACTTCCTCCACCATGTGATTTTTGCCTGTTGTACCCTCATCTGCATCATCTGCATTCTCCTCTTGCCAGAGAGCAAAAACCAGAACCTGCCGGAGAACATTCCAGATGGTGAACATTACACCCGGCAGCCTCTCATACCGCATAAGAAGGGGGAGCAGCCCCTGCTTCTGACGAACTCTGAACTTAAAGATTACTCCGGCCTCCATGATTCGGCAACCGTGAATGATGGGGTGACCGAGATCGTCACTGCCAACGGGATGAAAGCAATGTAGGAGGAGGAGGAGCATTTAGTTGTGGGTTTGCTTCTCGTCCAAGATTTACAAACCATTGAGAAGAAGGGATGGATACACAGGGAAATTAGACTCTGCTGCTAAAGCCACTTCTAGAAATCTGTGATGGGGATACAAATTGCTTTGAGGCACAGTAATGTGGGGGGAAATGCATCTTTAGAAAAACTGGCTGGAGATCACTGTCCATTTTTTTTTCCCCTGCCATGAAATAGTTCTATTTATTTTGTCGATTTTCCCCATGAAAGCACTTTATTCTGTTCTTCTTCTCTTGTTGACCATAAACATGAAGCCATGTTACTCTCAAGAAAAGCAGCCATTCCAGGAAAGAAATCATGAGGCGGTATATGGTTTTGGTTTCATTTTATTGTTTATTTTTTGTGTTTTTTTCCTAGGGGTATGAGGCATCTCTTGCTGCATCAATGAATTTGTTGGCTACTGGCGTTTCTGGGTCATCTTTTTTTTTCCCCTTGATCTCTCCAGATAATTAATATTTCCTCCTTCCAATCTCCTAGTCCTAGCTACTGTGAAAGTGTGTGCCCGTAAAACTAAATTCCAACTGCGTTTCAAGGGTTCCACCACAAATGCGCGAACGAAAAAAGCACGCCTGACTAAACCGCGGTGACAAAACCGCACCGACAAAACCGTGCGATGAATGAGCCCTGAAGCGCGCCGACAACAGCGCGCCGACAGAAGCACGCTGTAACCTAACCCTAAACCTAACCCTAACCCTAAACCTAACCCTAAACCTTACCTTAACTTAAATCGCGCTT